AATATTCTTTTTTTAGAACCTTGTAGATCGCCGCGCATGTTTCCGGAATGATAACCCCTAAAGCTTGAGGTGAAATTAAAGTTGTATATTTCATATCTTCAAAACTGCGACCGGTTGCCAAAAACCTTAATGTTGCAGTTAGTCTTTCTTCCACCGTAATTGCACTTCTCATTTTAGTGTTTTGTTTTTTAATTAAAGGTGTCACTAATTTAAGTAATGTTTTAAAACATGTTTCATCCATTCGTAAATAGTTTTTATAATCCTCCGTACAGGAAAGCTTTAATTCTGCCATAAGTGACATGTGGGATAATCTATTCCTTTTCATCAGCCAGTCTTTAACCCAGTATGCTCTTTTCTTTTTCTTTTGCGTTTCAAGCACAATTAATAAAGCACAAGCCCTTTTTCGCGAGAGAGACATGTTTCCTTCCATACTAGTCGAGAAGGTCATCGATTCTTCGCCGGGGTTCTAGTCTAACGGTATTGGATATATATGGGACATTTTATGTAAACAGTTAGTCAGTCGAAAATAAATTGTTGTAACGAATAAGTGGTTTAATAAATTGATATAAATTATTGTGTTTTAGTGAATTAGAATAAGAGAAATAAAGTAAATAAATTAGAATTAATAAAAACTCAACAATACTTTAATATCAAGGTAAAATAGTTCAATGACAATAGACTGCTCACTCATAACTCAACACCAAAATATCTTGGAGTGACTCTGGACAGAACATTGAGTTTTAAAGAACATCTTCAAAGAACGACAGCAAAGCTGAAAACGAAAATAATATAGTCCAAAAGCTATGTGGCACTACATGGGGGTCTCTCAGCCTCCGTACTCAGATCATCCGCTCTCGGACTTGTATACTCGGTGGCTGAATATGCTTCCCCGTTATGGCTCAATAGCAAACACACAAAGATTATTGACACTCAATTAAACCAGACAATGCGAATGATTTCAGGTACAATTAGACCCACACCGAACTATTGGCTTCCCATTCTGAGTCACATTCCACCGCCGAAACTGCGAAGAAGTCATTCTCTTCTCAGAGAATATCGAAAAATTGAGGCTAACCATCAACTACCCATCCACCAAGATAAGCTTGATATCGAAATAAACAGACTGCGCTCCAGATATCCTCCATTGCTAAGAGCCAACTCCTTACATCAGGAACATTTCAACCTGACCAAAGCTTGGAGAACACAATGGGAGAGCGACTCACCACAGGAAGCACACCAAATGGCCTGTATCGATCAGAAACCGCCAGGCTTTGAACTGACCCGCAATACATGGACAACGCTAAACAGAATAAGAACAAGCAGCGGCAAGCAAGCAAGCAATTTGATTGAACCCAGCCTATGAGAAATGTTCACCCAGGTAGTACGATCGGGTGTAACAATTCATTGGAGCAAGGTGTGTTAACTCGAGTAAAAACAGGAGTCACCCCACCGTGCTCCAATGCTCTAGACCAGTGCTTCCCAACCTTTTTCGGCCTATCGCCCATTTTTCCAAAAACCAAATACTTAACGCCCCCCTTAAAAAACTCTTCCATTCTTAAAATTAGTAACGCACTTTCATTCACAATTGTTTTATCTTTTTTGGGTCAAAGGCTACCTTAAATATGATTCGACGGCCCCTTAACTAATCCAAGCAACAACAAATTAAAAAAAAAATGTTTTATTCAAAAATACAGTATTCATGTATTGATCAAACTTTAACTTAAATACATATCATAAAAAATAATATAATAATAATATAACATTTTTAATGATAAGGTTGAGCTTGATGTAATGATAGTAATCTGTCAAAATTTGGTTCCATACTTGTCATCAGCAATCTTAAATCACCGCGCTCCACTATGAACTGTCTATTTCTCTTCTTTGTTAATAAATTGCTGACTATGCTAAATCCTCTTTCGGCTAAATACGATGAAGGAAAGGCAATGAAAAACTTCTTTGATGCATAAAGCTGGATATAATACTGAAATTTGACATTGCAGCCAAAATTCTTGATATCCATTTTTAAATTTCACTTTTAACTCTTCATTTGTTGACAATTCTATCAATTCCTCCTGTAGTGATAATTCTGCTGTTTCTAAACTTGAGAACGGTTCTAGCACCCAATCTGGAATAATCAGACCAAGGATATCCTGAAATCTATTCCTAAAATCTTCTTGAAGTGCTTCCAAGTGCTGGCAATATACCAGAATGTCTTCATCATTTGTCTCCACAGAGGAAAGATTTTGAAACTGATGAAATTGTCTCCGACCCAAATTTTGCCTATACAAATTAAGTTTTGACACGAACGAGGAAATAGTTCCTTTTGCTTTGATCAAATTCAAATTATCACCTTGTAGCTGTAGCTTTGTTTCATTAAATTTATCGTATAAATCAGTTAAATAAGCAATATCGCTCTTAAATTTTAATAAATTGTCTCTCAAAGAATCATCTTTGCTTTCAAAAAACTCTAAAACTGAGTCAAAGAGATCATAAAATCTTTTTAGACATGTACCCTTCGAAAGCCATCGAACTTCTGTGTGCAACAATAAACGATTAAAATTCTCGTCGTTTTCATCACACAGTTTTCTAAACAATCTATCATTGAGAGCATTGCTTCTGATCTTGTTAACTGCAGTAATTATATATTGTAGTGAACAATGAAGGTAATCACTAAGATTTTTTGCAACTAAATGCTGTCTGTGAATTACACAATGCACGGCGAGTATATTTGGTACCGCTTTTTTCAAATATGCTATCAGTCCGCGGTGTCGTCCAACCATTGCTGGAGCACCATCTGTAGCAACAGTTATGACATTTTCCAGAGGTATACCTTTATCTGTAAAATAGTGTTCCAGAACATCAAATATCGATTTGTTTTCCAGTGTTCTTACAAATAACAGTTCTTGACAGATTTTTTCACTTTTTATGAAGCAAATTCACTTAAAGCAGAAAGGTTGTAATGGAAGTGGGATTATACTAACGAAACGTTCTACGTTCGGCTGCAACGTCGAAATTGTTGCAGCGTTGGACTGAGTGATAAATAAAAAATTGCACGGTGCATAACCAAAATGCATTTTGTGCATTTCGTTTATATTTTCGGATTGTTAGAAGTTGTTAGAAGCAAAGAAGCAATGAGTTACTTTAGGGGGGCGGCAGCTATTCCTCAACGCCCCCCAAATTTTCCTTGGACTCAAAAAGCCCCCTTATCTCTCTTCAACGCCCACCGGTGGGCGGTACCGCCCCCGTTGGGAACCACTGCTCTAGACCATCACTTTCCCCCTATAGCAATCTGATTCGCTATAGAGGCACAACAATCAGCTAAGTGCTCTTCATGTGGAGGTCCTGGGTAATAGAACCCCGAACATGGTTTCCTAACCGAATGCAAAAACTCAGGACAGCGCATCTCCGCTATATTCCTGAACAAGCAGCGGTATATAAAAAATAAAAAATAAAAAAAATAAAAAAAATAAAAACGTTTATTGCCTAATAAAATATACATGTCATTCATTTCATTCATTTTAGCCTTCTTTCTTCTGATGTACCGCTAATGCACCATCTTCTTCTTCTTCTTTTTCAACCTCTCGGCATCCTGGACTTCTCTGGGTGGTTTCCTCGTCTTTTTCTGTAGGTACTTTTTTAAGGCATCGTACCTACTTCCCTTAAGCAAGCAGCGGTAGATGTGCTGACAGCTTATATGGACGGGGAAAAGCCCGTACTCCTGAGTGTGACTGTGGTGCGCAACGACAGACCGTCCGTCACATTGTTAAAGAATGTCCCCGAAAGTGATTCCCTGTAGTTTTCGATGAGTTCCTGAATAATGCGACCGAAAATGTTTTACATTATATTAATAATGCATGAGATGTTCGTTTGTAATACTTCATGTAACGTTTTATATTGATTTTTTAATTGTGTGTTCTTATTGTATGCCATACGATAAAAAAAAAGTTCAATCGAGCTATTTCTGGCTATATTTTTGTTACATCCTGCACAATAACTGCAAAAAAGACCTGTTTTTCTGTACCCATTATTTATTGTGATTTATTTAGTTGAAACCTAAAACTTTTATTTATTACATCATAAAATATACCTGCAAATATATTTGTATACAATGCAGTTATGAATATTTAATAAATATTTTACGAATATTCTTTTCATTATTGTCACGAATACAACTGTATAATTTTTAATTACAGATATATGAATAATTAAAACGCAGTCCTTTGATGTTATTAAAACATAAATCAAATGTTTGTTAAATGTAATAATAGGCGAGCGGCACACCCCCAAAAAGTCGATTAGAAATAGCAAAGTGTGACTAAGGCGGCGGCGACGTTCTGAAGTTTGAGTTCATGATTTTTTGTGCTGTATTGAAGTAGCTGAATAAGAATCTGGAATTATTTTGAACGGAAATGCCTAAGCGGTGTACTTTAGGAACACCAACTAATTTTTATGTAAAATATCAACTCTTTAGCAAATTGTTAACAAAACTTACTTTTTATTATTATTTTACATAAATTTACTGTATACAGGATGTTGTAAAAGGGTATGTCATAAATTATATCACGCATCCGGGGACAATAATAAATTCTTTGAATCCAACTTACCTTAGTACAAAAGTGTACTTAAAAAAAGGACATGTTACTTTCTTGTTCTGAAAGCATTTTTCATACAAAAGAAACAATAAAATCTAAGCGCACAGAAAAATTTTAAGGGGGGTATGCAGCCCTAAATCCCTCCAAACTTTTGAGTACCTTCAAATCAAATTAATTTTGTGACATCATTAGTGTAACACAGTATTTTTAAAACTTTTTTGCCTTTTATCACTTTTTCGAAAAACTAGATTTTTCTTAGTTGGCCATAAAATTACCATTAGTTTCTACGGATACAATAATTTCAAACAATTCATCAATAATAGTCAATAATTTGAAGCTATCATTTATTGTGTGATTGAGATTAGTATTAAAATTTTTGATATTACAATGGCCTACACATTTCAGGAAATGGCAGATATGCATTTAACTTTGTGTAAGTAGGATAAGATTAAATTATGATTTTAATAAACTATCGGGAATATCGTAGGTGAATGTCAAAGAAATAGTGCAGCAGCCGCAAGGCGATATGCAGTAAAATACCTTAATCGAAATACACCCGATAGACGATTATTTCTGACCATTAATCGTCGTTTACGGAAAACGGGTACATTCCAACCGCAAGTTGCTGGCAATAGTGGTCATCCAATAATGGATGCAACTGATGAAGACATTTTAGAAATCATTGAAGAAGTTTCTGGAACAAGTACAAGGGTCATAGCTGCTCAACTAAATGTTCCTCACGTAAGGGTTTGGAGGCGTTTGAAGGATCAGCTGCTTAAACTTTATCACTTAACAACGGTTCAAGAGTTATTGGTTGAAGATTAGCCTAAAAGGATTGGATTTTGCGATTGGTTGTTAATGGAAAATATAATACAAAAAAGTATATTCTTCTCAGTATAAGCTTTTTGCTTTAAAACTTTTTGCCTTTGATAACTTTCAGATATTTTTCCATTCTGTTGAACTTCTACTATTACTCTTATATACAAGTTTTTTATAATTTCTCGTAGTATACGTAGCCATTTAAATACCGTGCTTACCGGCTAAAATACCGGCTAAAGTACCGGCCTGGTCATTTTAAAGGTGAATGCCGCTTGCCTATAATGAACTGTTCTAATTATCAATAATTCAACATACCTAAAAATTTCCGTAGGTATTTAATATTAATGTGTACGTTGCTATAACTACGTTACTGTTGCTTCACTTATACAATAGATACAAAATTATATATTCCTAATAGAAAATTTAATTAATCTAGATATTTCTAGTACAATAATTATTCTGAAACAATCCGATGAAACAATAAAAAGAGTTAAGGCGGAAATACACCATTCAATTCGGTTGAACAATGTGGATGATTCAATCAAAATGAACCATGTATTTTGCAATTCAATAAAAGCGTTCAACAAAATTGAACGTTGAAAGAAGTTGAGATAATTTCTACTTTCGTTCAACTTCGTTGTACAAACTGGGATCATTCATCCACATTGACTCGTCTATTTAAGTTTTGTCGATTGTGTTCGATTCAACCGTTTATTTCATCGAGTTAGAATCTTTTCATTTTGACTTGTGATATAATAAGTTCCGTACGTAGGTTTCGAATCATCCACATTGTTCAACCGAATTGAATGAAGAATAAATTGAAGCGTGTATATGTATGCTTTTCAATTTGATTGAACAATGTAATTGAATCATCCACATTGTTCAACCGAATTGAATGGTGTATTTCCGCCTTTAGCCTTTATACTCCAGTCGTCAGAGGCGAAAATGTCACTAAACCCCTAAAAATCATACGAACAAGGTGAGTTTTGCCAATAATGTCAATTTTATTACGCTAAAAAAATTTAAGAAGTTTACCATTTTTACCCCGGGCTTTCCCCTATAGCTAGGCTTACCATAATTATGAAACTCTTAACCGGGACAGTAAATGGTGGATAGGGTAAAGTATAAAAAAAACGATTAAGCTGCTGCCAAAAATTTTTATTAATAAAATACCTATTTTTTGTACCATTCATACTTCTCGCTTGTATGTACTTTTTTTAATAAAATGTTATTTTTTTATTTTTTCGTAAAAATCGTTACATGTCATATTAAAGTTTAATTTACAGTATAGTAATGCTTGTACGGTAGACTCCAACATACGGCTTCTATCGTCCGACCAAATATGTTTCATCATCGAGAAGACACGCTCTAAAGGAGCGGAGGTGCCTGGTAAGCACAAAATATATTGCACCATTTTTACCAGGTTGGGTGTATCGATGTGTTGTTCATGAAAATGTTTAAATAGTAGAACCCATTTGTCAACATAATCAATTTGTATCGTCGTGGAATTCCATTCATCATTCTTTGATGCTATAAAAACTTTCGTAAGTGACAGCTCGTCAAAAAGGTTGTCAGTATTAATATTTTGTCGATCGTCGGAACTGTGTATATTGTATACAGGGTGAGTCATGAGGAACTTTACATACTTCTACCATATGTAGAGTCCCTCAGGAGCATATCATGTGGCCACTAAAAAATGTCAACTCCTCTTCTTTATTAATTAACAGGGTGATTTGTGTAATTGACCATTTATTTCATTTTACTGTAGTGTTTATACGGCTTATTTGATTTTTTTAATATTTGCATGATACAGTACACTACTATCAAGCATTCGACTGGTATTAGCTAAACTAAAAAATTCCAGGACTGGCTTTGGAAAAATTAATTTAGGGATTCGTATTAAATATTACACCTTTTATATATATTTTTTTAAAATGCAATAAGTGATTTTCAAACTACATAAATAGCCAATGAAAACGACATATGCGACAATGTTGTCGCACTTTTATTAAATTTTTTAGTGAACGATCAAATCTTACCAAAAATAGAACAACCATAATGAAGTATGAAATTATTAGGGTATTAATTTAGACAAATGTTATAAATTTCAAACATTTTAATTAAAATGCGTTCCTACAACATAATCTAATACGTAGAAAATTAACATCTTTACTGTCACTTTGTATTATCTCTACGATAGAATCAATTGTTTTTCAATTTTAAATTTTTACTCATAGATCGTATTGGGGCATTATTTTCGATAAATAATAAATTAAATTGATTAAAAAGTCAAACCTCTTGTATGTGTTAGTTTTTGTTGATTGTAAATGATTAAAATTTTATGTCAAATAATAATACATTGCATCAACTGTACTAAATAAAAATAAATCTAAAAAAGTTTAAAATGAAGGTTGGCGTTGACCGTTTGACGTTTCTTGATATTTTATACCCATTGTCATTATTGTCATTATCAATTGTTATTTATGTGTACAAGAATACATATTTCTTCTGTCATATCTACGTTAAGTACATTGTGTTAGTTTTGGTAGAGCTTTTGTTACTTTCGTTCAAAATGCCACATCAGTTTTCGACCACAGAATATGCAGACATAATATTTGTTTATGGATTCTGTAATGGAATGGTAGGGCTGCTAGTAGAGAATATCGCAGGAGATTTCCTAATCGTCGAACCCCAGTCATCCAACATTTGGGTCAGTTTTTAATTATTTGCGAGAAAATGGCACTTTTCCTAGTGGAACAACAGAGCGACATGTAGATGAAGCGCAGGAAGATGACATTATGGACGCCGTTACTATGAACCCTACAATAAGCACTAGACAAGTAAGTCGAGAACTCAATTTTACTCAATCAAAAGTAAGTAGAGTCTTACAAAAAAATAATCTATACCCATATCACATTCAAATGGTTCAGCGACTACATGCTGGAGATGAGATCGATAAGTTGGAATTTTGTAGCTGGATTAACAATAATCGACCAACGCTATTCGAACTCTTGTTTGAATCTTTTAATACATTTTGTGACCTTTTAACATTTTTTTGAGGGATAAAGCCTGCGGCACTATAGCTTTTATACGGAAGAGCTGTAGGTTTCTGGTCCACACCGGACATGCATATTCCCCTACCACTTGCACAAGGCTTGTGCTGTTGTTTTAAGAACTGTAGGGTTGTCACCATATTGACTCCGTGTTAGTTTTCCAAGGAGACGCTACTTTTTTCCTTGTTTATTGCAATGATGTTTATATGTAAGTGTTCTGTCTAGTACCGTTCCAAAAGCCGCGCTCTGATTGACGCCACCACTTTAATTTTATTCTTCCACTTCCACATTCACAAAATTACAAATTTCCATTCGCTGCACTGCTGTTTTGTTTATTCCATTTAGTTTAAGATTAGTGTCAAGCCAGAGGGGGCGTATTTTTCGTGCATATTGATGACGTTGAATTTGACTATGGATAAATTTGTTATAAAACAAAGTAATAAGTTCTAAACTTGCACAAACAAACTGCCAGTGATTTGCAGTCGGGTACAAGTTCTAAGAGCGGCAATATTAATAGACAGCCGAGTAATGTGCAACCTAGTGTCAGGTACAAGTGGTAATTACAAACTACCACTCGATGCGCGGTCTCCATGCGTCCGTCGAATGAGTCCATGAAACCTTCAAAATTGAAGCGGCACTTAGAATTGAAAACACCAGGAATACACTGGTAAGCCAATAGATTTTTTTAATAAATAATAAATAAAAAGAGAGAATTTAATAGCTATCAAAAAGACTATGTCTTTGAATTTTTATCAGAATGCTCAATCTAAAAACCTTATACTGGGTTCTTATGGAATATCAAAATTAATTGCTGAAACCGGTCATCCTCACACAATTATTGCCGAGAAATTAATAGTTCCAGCAATGAAAATAGTAGCATCTCAAATATGTGATAACAAGCAGTGAAATCAAGTGAATTCGCTGGCTCTATCAAATAACACAGTGAAGCACAGGATTGTGGTGATGGCAAATAATATTGAAGAAACTATTATAGGTCACTTAAAGGAGTGCAAACAACAGTGAACCAATGTCGCCAATCATCTATAAATAATAGCATTAAACCATGGATCAGCAGAAACACGTGGAAAGTGATTGAACAAAGAAAGCAACTTAAAGTTGGCCCCTGTGATCAACAGACATATAAAGCTCTCTCCAGAGATATTCAACGAAGATGCCGAAAAGACAAACAAGAATACATCTCTGAAATCTGCCAAGAAATAGAAAATCACGGATATCGAAATGAAACCAAAGACCTCTTCCGGAAAGTGAAAATTCTTGCGAGAGAATTTAAACCCAAGAACTATGCAATAGAGGACAAACATGGTATTATCATAAGTGATATCGACAGAGTGTTGGAAACATGGAAAAACTATTGTTCAGAGCTCTACAGGGAAGAACACGTAAATCTAGGCCACACTTCAGCCCTCGAAAACACTGAATACAACCCTGAACCTGAAATTCTGCTGTCCGAGATTGAAGAAGCTGTAACTCACCTCAAGAAGAATAAATCCCCTGGCTGCGATGATATCACGGGAGAGCTCCTTCAGAACATGGGAGACAAAGGATGTTACATAATGTGGAAACTTTGTAATAAAATTTGGAGATGCGGAAAGTGGCCCAGAGAATGGCGCACATCATTGTGCATACCAATCCATAAAAAAGGAACAACTACAAAGTGTAGTAATTATCGTACCATCTCACTGATTTCCCATCCAAGCAAAATATTACTAAGAATCATTAAACGCCGTTTGCAACAGTACTTAGACAACCAAATTCCCCAAGAACAAGCAGGCTTTGTCAAAGGGAAGGGTACGAGAGAGCAAATCCTTAATATGCGGCAGCTCATAGAAAAGGCCCGCGAATTTAAAATTCCAATAATAATCTGTTTTCTAGACTACCAAAAGGCATTTGATTGTGTAAAGTGGGAAGTTCTCTGGACAGTTCTTCATGAGA